TTTTTTGTTATTCCATATGAATTTGAGAATTTCCTTTTCTAACTCTGTGAAGAATTGAGTTGGGATTTTAATGGGGATTGCATTGAATCTGTAGATTGCTTTTGGCAAGATGGCCATTTTTATTATATTAATCCTGCCAATCCATGAGCATGGGAGATTTTTCCATCTTCTGAGATCTTCTTCGATTTCTTTCTTCAGGGACTTGAAGTTCTTGTCATAGAGGTCTTTCACTTGCTTGGTTAGATTCCCACCAAGGTATTTTATATTATTTGCAACTATTGTGAAGGGTGTCATTTCCCTAATTTCTTTTTCAGTCTGTTTATCTTTCATGTAGAGGAAGGCTACTGATTTGTTTGAGTTGATTTTATAATCAGCCACTTTGCTGAAGTTGTTTATCAGGTTTAGGAGTTCTCTGGTGGAAGTTTTGGGGTCACTTAAGTATACTATCATATCATCTGCAAATAGTGATATTTTGACTTCTTCCTTTCCTATTTGTATCCCTTTGACTTCTTTTTGTTGTCTAATTGCTCTGGCTAGGACTTCCAGTACTATATTGAATAGGTAGGGGGAGAGTGGGCAACCTTGTCTAGTCCCTGATTTTAGTGGGATTGCTTCAAGTTTCTCTCCATTTAGTTTGATGTTGACTACTGGTTTTCTGTAAATTGCTTTTACTATGTTTAGGTAGGGGCCTTGAATTCCTGATCTTTCCAAGACTTTTATCATGAAGGGATGTTGAATTTTGTCAAATGCTTTCTCAGCATCTAGTGAGATGATCATGTGGTTTTTTTCTTTGAGTTTGTTTATATCGTGGATTACATTGATGGATTTCCGAATATTGAACCATCCCTGCATTCCTGGGATAAAACCTACTTGATCATGATGGATGATTGTTTTGATGTGTTCTTGGATTCGGTTTGCTAGAATTTTATTGAGTATTTTTGTATCGATGTTCATAAGGGAGATTGGTCTGAAGTTCTCTTTCTTTGTCGTGACCACTCCATTCTTAAGCGATACCTTTGTGCTGTGTCATGGAGTCCAATGGAAAGTATAGGTTTCTTCCAGTACAGGTTTTCTCAGGGAGTTGGTGGAGAAGAAAAAATTATTGCCCTGCCTTTTTCTAGAAAGTTTTGGACAAGAAAAAGTGATCCTTACGGGTCTTTGAAATGCTCTGGAAAATGAAGTAACTATTATTTTCGGGCTCTCCATTCTCATAATTCCAACACTGGTTTAAAGTAGCTTGAGTTCCTGGTACAGTTTCTAGGCCTTGGATACATAGTTTCTGACAGACTGGGGGTAGGAGGGTTGGGGGGCAGGGGGGCAGATATGTATACAAGAGATGTATAAGAAGAGCTGTTCTTGTAATTCAAGTGTATGGAAGAGCGGACAAAAGCTGCTGAACTCCAAATCCAGCTGTGACACGGGTGTGGAAAGGCTTGTAGGTTTCTTTGGTTTATTGCCCCTTCTGCTTTCAGCTAGTTTAGGCTTAAGGTTAGAAAATAAGATAAAGACAGATCTTAGCCAGGCCTATAATCCCAGGATTTGCAAAACTAAAGCCAGTCTGGGCTGACTCAAGGGTAGCCTGCGAAACTTAATGTTTCAAAATAACAATAATAATCAAAACTTTTTTAAGGGCTGGAGATGTAGCCCAGTGGTAGAGTGCTTCCCTGGTATCCATGGGGCCCTAAATTCAATTTCCAATACCTCATGGGTGAAGGAAAAAAATTACAAAACATTTAAATATGTGCTTCTATCATGGACAGAATCCACACCTGGGGTAGATAAGACTTGCCAAGCAGATGCTTGGGCCTCAGAAGTTGGAGGAGGCAAGGAGTCACATAGTTTGTCTTTGAATTTCTTTTTTTTTTAAAGATTTATTTATATATTATATATGAATACACTGTAGCTGTCTTCAGACACACCAGAAGAGGGCATCAGATCTCATTATAGATGGTTATGAGCCACCATGTGGTTGCTGGGATTTGAACTCAGGACCTCTGGAAGTGCAATCAGTGCTCTTAACCGCTGAGCCATCTCTCCAGCCCGTCTTTGAATTTCTATTCCATCAGTCAGAGCTCAACTCACTGACTTAGCAAGGTATTGGATAGAAACGATGGCTGGACGACATCCTTTCATGACCATCTCTGTGGGGGTGACACAGATACCCCATTTATGCGTGAGCAACCAAAGGTCACTTGTTCGCCTTACTTTGACCAGTAATAAGTCTCTGCAGGTAGCTCTGTCCACTCTAAGAAGAAGCTTCTCTGACTAAAGCTGATAGCAGCATTATTTTCTGGGCACAGACATAATTATTTAGAAGGCAACTGGATAAGAATATCATGTCCGCTAGCTAAAAATACACCAGGAGCTTTTGGCACTAGGGCCTATACCTCCCAGGCACGGAGTTCTGGCAGATTTACAGTGCCTGATATGAATTCCCTCTTGTGGAGCAGGCCACACAGCTAAAGAAAGTGGTTGGTTATTCCCATAACAAGATTGCCACTATTGCACCAGTAGGCAAATTTTGCCTGGCTAGTCAGTAACACTCGGGGGCCACATCTGAGTAAGACTGTTGGGTAATTCTTCCTCTGAAGTCTGCATTTCACTCTGGCGCTGTTGGCACTAGCTAGCCGTGAAGAATCCTCCAGCTCAATTCCACTTTGATTTTTCCATCCTGAGACCAAAGCATGTGTTCTCATTTAGTTCTGTTAGGCAACCAAGAGCAGTGGCAGCGGCAGTTCCCTAGATTGTTTTGGGAGCCTTGGAGATCCCCCCAACCAACAACTCATAGGGAGGTAGCCCAACCCTGACACTGGATTTTCATTTAATAACCTATGGTTTATGGGAGCATTTTATTCCTATCTTTTTGTTCTTATAAGGAAACTAGTCATATTGGTTTCCTCGCTCATTACCTCATCTAACCTCAGTCACCTGTCTAAAAAAATCCAGTCTTCAAATATGCTCACATGCTGAGGTATCGAGAGTTAGGACTTTAAAAATATGAATTTGAGATATGGGGATATTAGCCTATGACTTAAAGTAGGAAGTAAAAGGATTGTGGGAAAAAGAGATGGTCAACAATAGTCGTGAAACTCAGTTTGTGTTTGAGCCTGAGGCAGCCATCTCTACTTATTAGACATGTCAGGGGTTGGCTATAGACAAATGCACAGCTCCTGATGGTGGAGTTACTGGGTGGGAGTGGTTCCATGTCAAATGGAAGACCAAAGCTGGTGTTGTCTGTCTGATTCTTAGACTCAATGACAGTGAGACCTGTCAATGTAAAATATGACCCCATTCTCAAGAGATTGCAAGTGATTGCCCAAGAAGGAATTAAAATAAGCAAGGAGGGCAGACCATGACAGGCACCTGGAATCTACTGTTGCTATGGAGGGTGGCCTCCTGATTTGGGCCCATGAGATGAATAAAAGCAGGGTGAGAGCCTGGCCACTCTGCCCTGCCTTTGTGCCTGCATTTCTTCGGGTCAGATTCTTGCTGACTCTGCACAGGACAGACATGATCACCCCTGAAGAGTGTCTCTTTGCCCTACCTAGCTCAACTTCTTCAAGGCTCACCGACTGGAAGATGAGAACCAATGTGGATGATAGAATGGCTGTAGCTCAGAGTGGATCATTTGGGAGGAACCAGGTTGATACTGCAATTAATTTACCAACAGATTGAAGCACGTGGCAAGGTCAGATCTGGGACAGAGATGGGCAGAGCCACTCCAGTTCTTCCTCTATTTAAACTTAAAGTTCACCAGGCATGACGATGAATGCCTGTAATCACTCAGGGGTTGAGATAGAGGACTGCCTCACAGGGCCAGCCAGGACTACATAGTGAGCTTCAGGCTAGCCTAGACTTCAGAGGGAAACACTGGCTTAAAACCAAGCTAAACCCCAAACTTCTAAAGCCCTGTCAAGACCCCCGTGATGAGCTCAGAGTTGTAGGACTCCTTTACATGTTCCTCTTCTCAACACATCGATTGTGTCTTTCTCTGCTTTTCACAGTCTTTTCTTTAACTCATGGTTTGGGACAGGTTGCCACTGCAAGCTTCTTGTGGCTTCTGGAACCTGGGCTTCTGCCCCCAAACTACAGTTACAGGATAGGAAATGCCTTTCTTTCTATCCCACGTTCAGAAACAGTGCCCTTACTTTTTCGTAAACTGTTTGTTTTCTTTTTCCCTCCTCAGAATATGGTATTACAAAATGGTACCAAGGTCTTTGATTCCTGGGAGAAGCCTCCTATACCTGTGTACATGCAGTTTTATTTCTTCAATGTCACCAATCCTGAGGAGATCCTCCAAGGAGAAATCCCCCGTGTAGAAGAAGTGGGGCCGTATACCTACAGGTGAGTCCCTCCTCCACTGTTGAAACGTGGTAGGACCCTTGGGCTGTACCAGCACAACTGTGTTAGGATGTGGCCTGTGGTCTGGGGATGCACTGCTTTGGCTCTGTTCTGCCTGCAGCTTTGCTGTGATCTGGGGAGATGCTTCAACAGAGCTCTGTGGGTGGGGCTTCACCCCTGCCTGCCTTACTCAAGAATGCTGCCCCATCCCATCCTCCACAGCCGTCCTCCGTCCTCCACAGCCGCTCTCCACCTCTTTAAAGATCCCCCTCAGACTCTGGCGACTTTTAGGGCTCCCTCCAATTTCTTTACACCCATACAGTGTTAAATCAGTTTCTAGAATTCACTGCTCATCTGAGATGTTTTCTGATTTCTCATTTATTCATTTTTTTCCCTAATGAGACTAGTTTTCTTGTAGTTCAGGGTGGCTTTAAATTCACTATGTATTAAAGGATGAACTTGAACTTCTTGATTCTCCTGCCTCCTAAGCAGGGATTACTGGGACAAGTGCTTACTGGTTAGCCTTTACTTCATGTTGGCTGTGAAACCGGGATTCCTTACTTACATTTTGCTAACTGAACTGTGTCCCCAGAACTTCTCTGAGACAGGGTTTTACTGTCTTGAAATTTATTCTGTAGCCAAAATTGGCCTTGAAGTTGAACTTGTGGCTATCCTCCTGCCTCAGCCCTCTAAGTGCTAGGATTTCAAACATAGTCCACCACACTCAGTTTGTCCATTCCTTTCTTTCTTTTTTTTTTTTTTTTAAGATTTATTTATTTTATTTGAGTACACTGTAGCTGTCTTCAGACACACCAGAAGAGGGCATCGAATCTCATTATGGATGGTTGTGAGCCACCATGTGGTTGCTGGGATTTGAACTCAGGACCTCTGGAAGAGCAGTCAGTGCTCTAAACCACTGAGCCATCTCTCCAGCCCTGTCCATTCCTTTCTAAGCTGTGTAAGAAATGTGTGTAAGAAATAGCAGGTGGTATCTGGGTTTGTGGCAGTGACTGCCAATTTCAAAGGCTGAGAAGATTGAAGAATGGTATTGATCATTTTGTGTGTGTGTGTGTGTGTGTGTGTACCATGGCATGTGTGTAGAGGTCAGAGGTCGACTTGCAGGAGTCAGTTCTCTTTTTTCACTGTGTAGATCCCAAGGATTTTCTTGTTGAGCCATTTTCCTGGCCCCTTGACCAATAGTTTTCAAAGGTGAGCCGACTGAGGGAGATGCCTTGGGTCTTACAGTCAGGATGCTTTCTGTGCTGCTGTAGTCAACAGTAGCTCCTCCCTTCCCTGCAGGAACCAGGCCAGCAAAGTCTTTCTTTGCCAATATTAAACAAACAAACAAACAAACAAACAAACAAACATGACATGACATCAGTAAAGAAGCAGACAGTCAGTTTTTTCTTCTGGACTGCCACCTGGTCTCAAAGTCCATTGTTGTAATCAATTGCCCAGTGTGGGCTATATCATGAGTTCTAGGCCAGCCTGGGCTACACTGAGACCCTGTCTCATAAAAGCAAAAACAAAATGATACCCAAACTAAAAAGAATGCCCAGAAAGGAGTTTGGGAGTATCAGTATCACTCTAATGAGTATTACCTAATTGTGTCCCTCCCTATGCCTCTCTTCACCCCTCCTCCACTGTCTCTCTGTTTCCTTCCCCCTCCCTCCTCTTCCCTCCCTCTTCTTCCCTCCCTCCTTCTCTGCCTTCTTTTATGTTTTTAAATAATAGGTCCAGTCTGCATGTGAAGGCTCTGGAATCTTCTGTCACATGTGTGGAGATGACAGTCTTGGGTGTTATATTGTACCTCATGTGTGACAGGGTCCCTTACTTGCCACTTATGCCCCAGCTAGCTGGCCTGCAAACATCCGAGTCTCCTGCTCTACCTCCCATCTTATTGTTGGAACGCTTGAGTCACAGGCCTGTGTTACTGGGTCTGTTTTTACCTGAGTTCTAAGGATCCGAACTTAGAATTTCATTCTTTCCTGGCAAAAGCATTACAACTAAGCAGTTTCCCAGCCCCCGATTTTTGTTTGTTTGTCTCATTGTTTTGAGACAAGTGCTTACTGGATAGCCTAAGCTAGTCTCAAACTTCTAAACTTGTGCTTCAGCCTCCCTAAGGCTAGAATTATAGGTCTACACTACTGGCCTGACTCTAAAGCACAGATTTTTTTTTTTAAACTCTATTCTCTTGTTTATTTTTTGCAACTTTTGTGTATGATAAATATTATAGTTACATCCTTCCTCCAACTCCTTCTCAAATTCATGTTCTTTTATTCTTTAATTATTACTGTTATATAATGTAGACATACATATGTTATATACATACATACATACATACACACACATTTATAAATATAGCTTGCTTTGTTTATTTAGTGTTGCTCCTGTGTCTGTGTGTTTAGGGCTGACCTCTTGGGACTGGCTCACCCATGATGGGGCTCTTCTCTGGAAGAGACTGAACTCTTCTCCCTCAGTAGTCATTCATTGTCTGTAGATCCTTATCTAATGTTGAGACCCCGTGGATTTTCCCCATCTATGACGGCATGTCTACAGGCATTGTCATTCTTTCAGGTCTCAGGTCTTGTTGAGATGTCATGGGTGCAGCTCCCCTGTCATATATAGAAGGCACTAACTCACAGTCCCTGCCCTGGTCCTCATATATAGAAGGCACTAACTCACAGTCCCTGCTCTGGTCCTGCCTCTGGCTCCTACAGTCTTCCCCCCACTCTTCTGCTATGTTTTCTGAGCCTTTGGTTGTAGGGGTTATGTCATAGCTGTATCAGCTGGGGTTGGTCATTTGTTCTATACATTTTGATCAGTTGTGACTTTCAGTATTGATCTCTGCTGCAACAAGAAGCTTCTTTGATGAAGGATGAGAGCCACACTTATCTGTGGGGGGAAGGATATGTATTTGGAATACAGGTAGGAATTTTGCTGCTTTATAAATGTGGCAGTAAGAGGTTCTCCTAGTAGGGTCACTGGCCTTACCAGCCACAGGTACTGGTTTACCATGGAAGACATGAGTTCCTTCCTGCTGAGAGGGGCTTGGGTCCAAATGGCTGTTGGCTACCCCAGGAGGTAAGTGCTGCTCTTATACCTTTTAGAGCATCTTGCAGTTCTTGTCCTTGTTATGGTCTGTAGGCATCATAGCTACTAAGTAGGACTATTGCTTGTTTTCCATCTGTGGCTGCTTATATACCTCCTCCCAATACTCTGAGAGTCTGTCCTTAGGGCGGAGGCTTCCAGGTTGTTTCCAGCTTGACTTCTCCAATTATTCAAAGTATGTGGTGTCTTTAGCAATAGAGACTTTACCTTCAATCTCTGGAAGGCAGAAAACAAGGGCCATTTTGTGTTCTCTTGGACTCCCCTGACCAACAACTTGAAAGGAAGTTTTCTGTGCCTGGCAATGGGGTTTTTATTAGCTAGTCTATGGCTTTTAGAGGGAGCAGTGTCTTCCAAGTGATATAACTTCATCATGTGTGTGTTGTGCATTTGTGTATGTATATATGCAAGCACATGAACACACTTGCACATGTGATTATAAGCAGATGTAAAGGTGATTTCCTTTTCAAACACCCTTAGTGTTATACCTCTCTTCTCTCTCTCTCTCTCTCTGGACTTTCCTCCTTCTCTCTCTATAGGTAACTCTTCTCCTATGGTTCTTCTCCTATGGTTCCCATTTTTCTCTTTATAGTCCACAGTTTGCTCTGTGTATCCATGGGTTCTGCCTCCATCCACATAGTTAACTAACTGCAAGCTGGAAATACTTGGGAGAAATCTATTTTCTTGCTGACATGTCCTTTCCTATATAGTTGGGCATACGGTGGTTGTTTTTGTGTTAAATACATACAGACTTCTCTTGCTTCCTAAATAGTTCAACCCATAACAGCTGTCCACACAGCACTTAGATTGTATTAGGTGCAGTACGGGTCTAGAGACCACTGGAAGAACATGGGAAGAAGTTGAGAGGAGAGTTCAGTGGTAGAGTTAAAAAGCATTGAGTTTGATTCTCACTATGGCAGACAGCAAACAAAAAAGTACGCAGGGAAATGTGTGTATCTTATATGTCAACACTGTACCCTTTTATTTGAGGGATTTGAATGTTGAGATTTTGAGGTATGGCAGCCAGAAGTGATCTCCTGTGAGTTCTGAACTGGTTTCCTGAATGACACTGGATAAATAATAAATAAATAAATAAATAAATAAGCCTTCTGAATTAAAAAATTTGATATGAGCTGAACCTAATGGCACAGGCTTATAATCCCAGCTACTCCACAGATTGAGGCAGGGGGATTGCAAATTCAAGGCCTACCTGGGCAGCAGAATGAGTTCAAAGTTAGCCTAGAAAGCTTAGTGAGATCCTGTCTCAAAATATAAAGTCCCAAGTACTGAGGATACGGCTCAGTGGGACAGTGCTTCACCCGCCATGCACAAAGTCTGATGTGGTCAACAAAGAGTTAAGGTGTGGGAGGATTGAGAGGGTTTACTGTAGAGCACTATAGGAATTTCACAGTGCGCAAAAGGTTACAGACCCTGAGAGCATTTCAAAGAAAATACAAAAATCAAAACAAGCAAACAAGAACAGCAACAAACTTACAGAAACAAGACAGCACCCCAAGAGCAGATGTGGCCATTGGAGGTGCTGCCAGTGAGCTCTCCAGCCTGCCTGCACTTCTTCTTTCCCCTCATGTCCTCTCTATTGCCAGAGCAACTTTCCATAGGGCCCACAAGACACTTCCTTCCCTTCCCTGCTTGGGGCCATGATGTCTCCCCTGTGTGATGTGCATGGTTGTACAGGTTTGGTATCTTCTGTGACTGAGCTAGTTTCTATTTATTTTTGTTTTGGACGCTTGTGTCCTTCCATCTTAGTATCAAACACTGTAAAGAAACCAAGTTTCTCTGGACTCACACTTTGGGAGGTTTTTGAAAGGACTGCTTAGCCCCATTGCTGCTGGGTGTTGGTGACACAGCCCAAGAGGAAGGGGCTTGGGTCTCAT